TATGTTGTGTGTTACAGATTGTGCGACTGCAGGTTACTGCCGGTCAGCTGGGCTGGATGTGGTTCCTTCAGATTAAACCTGATAATCTCATTAAACAGTGTTCAGCTTCCATCACTAGATAAACATCGTTCTCCTGGTTGCCGTGGTAACACCATAACTAATGTAATGCAGCATCTTGTGTTGAAGCACTGCTAACAGATTGTAGTTTAGTTTTGTAGTCACGGGTTTGTTTTAGTTTTCAGTGTTTCCTGTCTCTCTTGTTGGTCGGTAGCTGCTGATTTCAGTTGTGTTACTTTAGTTTCCTCGTCGCTGTTGTTGTCGTTTCGGCGTTCTGTTTCAGTGTTCAGCTGCTGACTCGTGTGCAGAACAAGACTCTTTCTGAACTCTTGTGATGTTGGCAGGTCACACAGGAGCAGGAGCAGGTTTTCCTGTTTGTCTTTACCATCACCACATGCGTGAAGCTGCAGCTCTGATGATTTCCCAGATGAACTTGTTGCGGCCGTGATTGTGTGACGCTCAGCAGATTATCTTCTCCTCTCTGATGGAACCTGAGCTGGACTCAGAACAAAGAGCTGCTCTGGACTCGGCTGGGAACCTTCTGGCTCATTGTCTCTGTTCTGTCTCAGGTTACAAAACCCTCCTCAAAGGGATCTCTGGGAAATTCACCAGCGGGGACCTGGTGGCCATCATGGGGCCATCCGGAGCCGGGAAGTCCACGCTCATGAACATCCTGGCCGGGTACAGGTGGGTCTGATGCGTTCAGGTGCAGGCTGTGTGAGTGGCTGTTGGTGCTGAGGGCCGGTGTCTGTGTGAGCAGGGAGACGGGGATGAAGGGCGAGATCCTGATCAACGGGCAGCCCCGAGACCTGCGATCCTTCAGGAAGGTTTCCTGCTACATCATGCAGGACGACATGCTGCTGCCGCATCTCACCGTGCAGGAGGCCATGATGGTAGGAACGCTGAACGCAGCTCTCTGACCTTCACACTCGGGTGTCAGCGCGCTAAACGGAAATCTTGTTGCAGGTTTCGGCCAACCTGAAGCTGCAGGAGAAGGAGGAGGCTCGCAGAGAGATGGTGAGTTCTGACCTCCGACATCAACCATGAGAAACCAGAGAACGCAGCAGAAAGACCAGTTCACAGTCACACCGTCTATCTGCCACCTCATCGGCAACGTTCTGTCAAGAACGTCACACAAATCCAGCTTCACACATCTGGTCCAAATCACTTCATTCTACATGTTGCATTTAAGAATTCACACAAAACAAGTGTGTGCAGTAAAAACAGCAAAGCACAGGACCGGCTGACAGCAGAACCGCTGGACAGGACAAGAAGAACCACACATGAACAGAAGAGAACCTTCGGAACCAGGTTCCATTTCATCACGATCACTTTATTTTTCGTGACTTGTGAAAAAATTCAGCCAAATAAAACCAAAAAACTGATCCTGTAGAACCAGAACCTCCCTCCTCCTGGTTCTGATCCTGTAGAACCAGAACCTCCCTC